GTCAAAGGCCTAGTTGAAAATAAAGAGAAACAAAAATAAGTACAACCTGATTCAACTTTTAAAAGCAAATTTTCTATAATCATCGTCGTATGCCTACCTTTTTACGTACCTATGTAACCTATTGATAAAACGGTATAGACATGAGCTCAGGATGTGAAGAGCGAAACGGAAAAAAGTTTGCCTGAATAATTTACTTAACCCTAATTAGTAGGTACATTTAGTGAGAAAGGAATGTATATCTACCAACGTAGCTAGTGGATTGAGCCGGACTTCATTTGTTTTACATAACGAGTTATATAATAAAACTCGGAGACTTATATTAGGATATTGCAAAGAAGTGTCTGCGAAAAATATGAGATTAGTACGAGGCGTGGGTAAACTAATTGAATGTGGCCCTGGAATATCAAAAAGAGTATATAGCCAATATCCGGTCAGATCGCATAAACCCTGGGGAGGATGTAGCGTAACAAAAAAAATGCGTCCTGTATAAATTAGAAAGGTCCACAGTAGACTAATGTTCCTGTCAGCGTAACTGGTCAAACAAGGAAAATGTTTTTTAATTAACGTATTTTATATTTTGTTTATTTCACTTTAAAGTATACAATTAATAAAACGAAATAATGTACATAAACCTATACAATGCAGTACCAAACCAGATACAATCGCAACCTCATCAGTCCTTTCAAAAAAGCTCGTTTTTTCGGGTACTCTTAACTTGACTCACTTTACGGACTCTCTCTATACAAATTTATTACATTATCCGTCTCTATGTTGCGTAAGCCGAAATGTAAGATGTAATTTAATATTCTAATTTTTATATTGAGGAAATGACGACAGTACGAAGTGCGAAAAATATGGCTTAATGGTTAGGCGTGAGTCGAGAGAGTGAGTGGCGCTCACCTGACAAGCACTGTACTGCTTCGCAATGATGAATTACAAAGATTTCCAAAGTTAACCCTTTGTAATCTTGTACACATTCAAAAACAAAACAGTGCAATGGCCGCTGGCACACGATGTTTTTCTCTACCTGGAAAGACATTGAGTGACAACTGATTTTCGATTAAATCGATTAGAAGCAGTATTCGAAGACCGGGGTGCATTGTTGGCGCCGGATGAGGAGGTCCCAGGTTCGGTTCCCGGTAGGACCAATTTAGGAAGTGGCTTTTTGTAAATTAGTTCTAGTCTGGGCGCTATGGTTAGTGTCCCAGATTGACTTCCGTCGCTTCGGTACTTATGGTACAGTATTAAACCACTATATTGAGACCACATTATTGGTATTGTTGTTACATATTATTGTTTCAAATGAAACAAAAACGAAACTTTACACGGAATCATTTACCTTCATGTTCACATTAATCAATCAAGTCTTATTCCAGAGCACAGGTCTCCCTCAAAGCAAAGGTCAAGGTTATAGTTCGCCACGTTGGCCCCATGTGCGTTGGGTCTTCACACGTTTTCCAAGGACTATACAGTATCTTCAACGTGTCAGTTTGATCACTATATTTTCCTTCGGCATTAACGAGAGGAATTGCTAATAAACAATCACATAGCCGGATGCCACAGGGACTCAAATCCCTCAATTACGAAGCAACCGATTTCCCATTGGGCCTCCACCGCTCTTAATCCACAAACGTTTTATTCTAATACGGTACCAATATTGTAATTTCTGTGTCGTGCGGGGAAATATCTTTTTATTTACAATATTTTGTTGAAGACAATATTGACATTTATTCGACTTTCGGGTTAAAGTTTTCTTCTGTCAAAAGCTTTGAATTTCTACTACGCAATAGAAATACGGATAATGTAATAACTTTACATAGAGAGAGTCCGTAAAGTAAGTCAAGTTAAAAGTACCCGAAATAAACGAGCTTATTTGAAAGGACTGATGAGGTTGGAAGAAGCTGAACAAGTAGCTGGTAAAAATAGTTAACCTCTGCATACTCCACTGGAATATATACTTTTTTATGGTAATCCATATACTCCAATTCACCTGATGGAAAGTAACGTTGAAGCGTGCACACGTAAATAATGCCTATTCACTCTCGCCTTAACAAGGCCTAAGTTGAAGCGTTCAGGGAGCAAGTCTGCATGTAAGGAAACACAATCGTAGTTTGCGTTATAAATATAGAAGCGTAACGCTTCGTGAGAATCTTTTTAATATCCACAATATAGCGCCGGAACGCAAGCGTACGTCTTGTCCACCGGTGATGGAAAGGAGCAGGAGGAATTAAATCGAACTATTCCATCGTGCACTGAGTGATACATCCTATAGAACATCGATAAGCAGGCAACTTTACAGCGATGTTCAAGATTTTGCAGCTTCGCCTCTACTAGATCCGAGTCACCTATAAGCCTCTTGACACGTTTTTCAACTGAATCCAAAGAGGCCAATTTACATATAACCGCTCACGCGATGCGCTCCTCCTACCGCAGAATGGCGGCTATTTGGGTTCGCAGATTAGAAAAGTATTCAGTTTAAATACAAGTTTTTTTAAATAAAAATTATTATTCTGCATTGCTAAATAAATACCCTCCGTACTACAACAAAAACATCTCAAATAAAATGCAGTAATACACCGCAAATCCTGCACTTAAAGAGCACTAATGAAATTTTCGGTGGACCTACTTGGATAAATATGATAATATTCCGTTGGAGTGGTTCTAACATTTACCATGAAATTACTCCTTAAAGTATAGTTTATAAACATTTATATTCAGGGTAAACTTAAAAAACGCTACTTACGGTATATTTTCAATAAATAAACACCGAAATCACCAGCCCAAACAATAACACACACGATTGTCGTGACGTATTTTTGTAGTTGTTTATTTTTTTAATGACAGACCCAGGCACTAAAAACTTTATGGTTTGCTAGAGTAGTTACCGAAATAGCAATTAATATTAGTTCTTTTACCTGTTATAACTTCGATATCCGATAAATCGATATAAAATCATCACCGGCACCTCTAGGTGTGGTATGCGTCTACGGCTGCATGTATCGCGTGAGCGGTTAGCAGAGCCATTCCATAGGAGGCAGTAGTACACGTGATAAATCCAACAAAATTATATGTACATACCAATGAAGATAGCTACCACATATATAAACTGAAAATTAAGTTCCATTTGACAACAACCGTTAACTAGTATATTTCATTAAGTGGAAACTTATGACGTTTTTTTTACAGTCGATTAAAATGAACAATAAACTAATACTTTGCTCAGTGAAAAGTAACAACAATGTTCTAGCTGAGCTGCCGCATTACGCTGTGATTTGGCCGTGACTTCGATACTCGACCAATGGCGCGGAAAAAACGATAACATACGGTGTTTTACGATTCCTTTTCTTTAAATCCATAATACGAAACATTGAGTCGAACATGTGTAGGCAATAAACATCACATGGAATCATTGGAAAAGAATAGCTTCCGGATACAGGCTTTCTTTATTAGATCACATCCTGCTGTTGTACGTGTGATACATTTTTTCAAGGGCGGTGAACCTTCTTCGACGCTCACATCACAATGTTTTCCTTTACAGCGAGAGATATTGATACTAATTAAGTATCAACCGTAGCTACCAGCGACCTGGGGCTTGTATATATGATAAAGTAACTATACTCTTTGAAATAAAATAAAGCCTATCTTTTATTTCTCTGATAATGTGGGTAAGTTTAACGAACGTAAGCCCGCAACAGGAAACTTACGTCATCTAGATCCTGCTGAGATCCTTAATTTGTGGTCCAAAACGCCAGTGTGAGATTAGTCTGGCATCTTGAATTGTAGGAAGGACTATAAGTATGCTCCAGTGGCTAGAGCAAATCTTTAGTATCGACAGATCAAGACCAAATTACTCTGTTTATAAAATGTTTTCCACTGCATCGAATTTAAGGTAACATTATTTTTTGTTAAATGCGCAAATAATATTATCTTTCGTTCCGATAATCAGAGATGCTGTGTCAGTACAGTCAGCCACGTAGACATTTAAAACAACCACAATAAACACCACAACTAACCTGTCTGCTAATTAATATCGTGATAAAATGTTATTATTCGTTGAACTCGTCCTTTAATTTTAAAACTTGTTTAGCTCTTAAAGTAGTGGAGTAACAAAATATTAAAACAATCTCGTTGGCAAAGTTTGTTTAATGTTAAAAGTGAATGATCTGGTTCTTAACCGATTACGGCAAAAACAAGAGGGGAAAATGTATTTAACACAAGGTAGTACGCAAAGGTGCAGTACACACAACAAATTTCAATATATCTCTATTCTATAATAATAAGAAACTCTAAGTGGATGTAAGTGCGTAAACATTTCAATGTGCTATAAAATAAATTATATGTCTTAACCATTGACTTACAAATAAATGGACGACGGGTCTAATACAAAAACCACGAAAAAAAGTGCCAAGTCAACCTATTCGAAATTTAAATTGTATGTCATCGCAGTATCGCGCTGTCAGTAGAACAAATGAAAACTAAAGCGGAGTGTCGCGCTCTGTATACGATTTTAGCGCCTTACAAGTGCGGACACTTTTTAGCGCGGACCCGACGTCCATATAATTGTAAGTCAATGGTCTTAACGATAAAATAAACAAAAGTGCACGAAGGCGAATTTTGTGTGATACACAAGGGACTAATCAACTAACTGTTCTTTGAACAACTGACAGTATAGTCGTTTCCGCTGTTCGCAATGTCGTATATAAAAAAGAAATGTGAATACTATAATTCATATTAGATGTGATATAAATCAACAAAATATAACATCTTATCTATGGTAAAAATTAATAAAATAAAACAAGATAAAGAAGTGGAATTGCCTATACCACATGTAGTGCACATAAACACTTAAACTGATTATTTAATCTTGAAAACTCATCGAGATTATAGCTTGTGTTATGTCATGCTACACAAGACTCAATGACCTTACTATAGATTGAGAGATCAGCGTAATCAAATCGCAGTTCGAACTATCGGCAAGGCTTTAAAATCGTAGTGCGCCGAACGCCGGCGCAGCCACCGCCTGCGCTATAGTTGCGTTTATTTTTTTTTTTTTTAGTGCGGTTTCAGTGACTTCTATCCTATTGCGTGTTGCGAGAATACTAATATTTTAAAACTTTAATATTTGTATGTTTTTTTTAAATAGAAAGTGAGTCGTGATTGTTTAGACCCGACAATATGTCTACTAAACAAGAAAGTGATAATGAGACTGAAAATAAAAGTAAGTATCGACACTTCAGGGACAAAAGGGAGCACTTGTTAATTTTTATCAAAAATATATTAACGACGTGGGAGCCCTTCTCATACTCTTTTAAAATATCTACTCTCTTCTCTTCTCATTTTCTATTTTAATTTTTTTTATCGGTTTTGTGTTGAGCACATTTCATTTTATTGAATTGTATGTACTATTGTAATAACTCACCGAAGTAATAAAAAAATGTAGTTCACAATTAAATTAAATATCTGGCCGCACAGTAAAGAATTTCCCTGCATATAGAACACAGGAACATCAATGATGTCACTTACTACTCAAAAGCTCCAAAGTAGAACCATTTACTAACTCGTTGGCTCCTTTGGGAATCGAACCCGGGACCTCATCATCCAGTGCCCACATTGCAAACCGTTGGGCCTCCGAGACTACTTATCTTGTAATAAGGGATAAGAGCCCTCGATACCCTTTTGTCCGGTGGCGCAGTCAAGAGTATAAGAACAAAAAAAGGAAAGTAGTATTACCCTTACAGTCGCAATACCTGTATATCAAATCATACAAGAAGTGGAGAAAATGACGTCCCATTATTTATCCCATTCGCCGCCACAATCGCGACAGTTGCTCATAAAAGTTCCTTATTGGGTTCCTTTTCGTAATACTCTATGAAATTTAAGAGGTTATTCGAACAGTGTACTATTTTTAACCGACTTAAAAAAATGGAGAAGGTGCTCAATCTGACTGTTTTTTTGTGTATGTATGTTACGCGATAACTCCGGCGATAATTTGTGAACTGATTTTGATGATTATTTTTAGTGAAAAGAGGGTACCTCGGTATTGGTCCCATTTTTTTTATCATATAAAGTGACGGGACGAACAAGTCGTGCGCCTGATGGTAAGCTACACGCCTGTCCATAACAGTTACAGTGCCACTCAGAGCTTTAAATTGCAAAGATTTGAGACGCACTACCACTGCGCCCATCACCGTAAGACATAGGTTGACAAGTCCCATGTGCCTGTAATTTCACCAGCACCCTTACCCTTCAAAACCGGAACACAGTAACAAAGTAAAAAAGTAAAACAGTAACAGTAAAAAAGTTTATTGTTACAAATCGCTTTAAACCTTCGGGAATTCGGCATCGCATGCGCTACACGTGGCCTCGTAAACATTGTAAACCCGATTCGCCATAAAACACAGTAAACTGATTTTTGTTAGTACGTAAGGGTAGTACAGAGCTATTGATTTGAAATTAAATCTAAGGCTGCTTGAAAAGGACTCACGATCGTTATAAAAATAAAAAAAACACTACAGTCCAAATAGTACACCATTGTTAGATTGATTGTGTAATAAAGAATGTAATGTAAAGATTCAAGTACGCACTTTGTATCTGACAATTGCAATAAATTAAATAAATAAATATTAGACAACATCACATATCTGTTTCTGATTCTCAAGTAATAACTAAAGCATTTTGTGTTATGGAAATCGGAAACAACGACAATACCCGAAACACAATTAAGACAATGTAGAAAAGTTTGTTGATCTACACACATCAAAAGTGTCTAGGGATCAAGTGAATATTTTTGAAATAAAAATTATTTAAGCAATATTTACCAAATCCAGTCTTCCAGGACGACTTCTTACTTTAATGCTTATGTTTTATTTAACCGCTTACCCCTATATTTAATTAAAATAAACTAAAATTGATGTTTTTGCAAATTGTGGGAAAAAACTCGAAATTAACGGCGTCAATTAAATGACAAAAAAATGGCGAAAATGATGATTTTGCTCATTTTTATTGTAAAGATAAGAAAATTAATAATCTGTATTTCCACCATTAACACGAATCACACAATTACAGCGATTTGGCATGCTTAAGATGAGTTCATCAAAATCACTTTGAGGAATGGCCGCCCATGTGTTTTGTAACAAGTCAAAATATTGTTGTAGAGTATGTACGGTATGCATACTCGGCACAGCTCTTCTTTGAAGCATATCCCATGCGTGCTCAATTGGATTGAGGTCTGGCGATTGAGCAGGCCACGGCAGAACGTTGATACGAGCTTCGGCAAGAATGCGTGTTACGACTCTAGCCGTGTGTGGACGTACGTTGTCATGCATTAGTTGAAATGAATCACCCAACTGGCCTCGCAAAGGGATGATAACATCTGAAACAATCCTCTCTGCGTAAACTTGAGCATTGAGGTTACCCCTGATCCAATTGAGATCGGTTCCCCCACCATATGGATGAAATTCCTGACAATATCTCAAACGTTCATGACGTCCAGATGTTCTCCAAACTCGAGTACGTCTTGTATCCGGTCTCATACCGAAGCGGGATTCATCCGAAAAGCACACATAGCGCCAGTCTTCTTCCTCCCAGTTTCTGTGTTCGCGAGCCCATCGTAAACGGGTCCTGCGATTGCAGGGTGCAATAGGTGGAACTCTGAGCGGCCTTCGGGATTGCAGACCCACTTCACGTAAACGATTTCGGATTGTTTGATCGCTTATTAGTAAGCCTGAGGAGCTGTGGAGCCTCGTAACCAACATCATGGCGGTCATAGTACGATTCCGTCGAGCAGTATTTTGGATATACCGGTCCTGTCTGCGAGTCGTGATGCGAGATCGTCCTCCATGTCGCTCGGCCACGCTGCCCGTCATGCGATAGCGCGTCCAGAGGCGACTTATGACGCTCTGTGTAGTGTTAAGAGTGAAAGCCACAGCACGTTGCCTGGAACCAGCTTCCAACATTCCGACGGCTCGCATCATCACTTCTCGGGTTAAATGATGTCGTCTCTCCATAATAAAGTAAATTGTTTCGGTTCCGATGCAGATATTGTAATGATTTTGTCAAAACGCTATAACTCATTTTTATACAAAACCACATTGACAATCGATTTTCTTCTTATTATCGAATTTTAAACAATATTCCTTATTTAAATGTTAAAACTCACTAAAAAGTATCAATAGCGATACAAAAAAGTTAATATAATTAACCCTAATTGCAGCAATACTCTTAAACGTACTTGATCCCTAGACACTTTTGATGTGTGTATATTGCGATCGAACCTGGGACCTCAGAGATGGCGACACCATAAAAACCTGTGTGCAAGCCACTCGACAACAGAGGTCGTAAATCTTATCTTCTATTGTTTATTCTTAATTCACCTCACAATTGCAAATTGAAAAAACATATTAACTAAGTTACAGAATAATTCATTATCGATTTGATTAAAGTTGATATCAGTGAAATGGCAACACGAGTGGCAGCGACGAAGAGGCATTCAGGCTTTCGGGTAAAAAAACGGTATAACAGACGCTATAGTTTTTGACAATAAATGTATTTTCATGATATAATGGACTATCCATCTGATTATTGTTGATGTCAGTTATCAATCATCGCTATGGCATATATATATCTATTGAAACTTATTGTATATTCCCCGTCTATGGCGCAGCTGGACAAAGGCTCTTTATAGAATAGCCTCAGGTTGGTCGTCCTGAATAATGCTCTAAAGGAACGATAAAAACGTAAGAAAATAAAAATTCAAGCGTGTGATTCGAATAAAGGAATTTATATATGGCCGGCCATAAACTTGGCGTTAGAATGGTTAAATCGTAAAGATCTGAGGCGCACTGCCACTGGGCCCGTCACCCTGCGACATACGTTGACAAGTCCCATGTGCCTGTAATTTTACCAGCATTTGAAGGATAAGGACCCTTCAACACCGGAACACATTAATGCTGACAATACTGCTTGGCGGCAGAAATCGATAAGGTGGCAGTCTTCCCTGGACGAGCTCGTTCACAAGCAGCTCTACTGCTACGAACAGTCGCGGGTAAGAGCTGGTTTAAAAGAACTTATATGTCGACAATGCCTTTAAATGAGGCAGGTGTCATAATATTTGTCTGAAATAAAGGTAAATTGAATAAACAGAACCTCTACCTGCTCATGGCCTTGTCAGTCAGTTGGTTACAATGGCCGAATTTTGGAAAATGGGTATGGTACGTACTCAACACTTATTTACAGTACCGGGTGCAGAAGGTTAGGAACCTGATAATACTTCGCCGCATTAACACCTCACGCCGGCTGGTACTGATTATGAAGAAGCGCAAAATTATATATCTCGGTCACGTACTTTGACACGAAAGATACCGAGAGCTGTAACCACAGAACAATATATACAGTAGAAGTGGTTAGTTAGCATCTGACGGTGCCAACTATAGGTGTCGAAAGACCAATTTGAGCTCAATCGTCCATTATCGGTTTGTTTGGTATGGTAGTGTCAATCTTTTGCGCAAATTATCTAAAATCATAGAAAAATGCCATTCTATTCGTTCAGATGTTAATCGTCTGTCGTAGTCCAGCTACTAGCCGCAAGTACCGTCAATCTCATGTAGTAGAAAATCGCTTTAAGAATAATAAGACACGCTTTCTTATCGCTCACAATTTCATAAGTCTACTGATGTGCCTGTGCTCACTTCTCCTTATCATTTAACCAGACGGTAAATGACAAATGTAGTGGTAAGAAGATAAATGTGGAATAACGAATTATGTTGTATTGTACATACAATTTATTATTATTGTCATGTCAAGTTACAAAACACTTTTTGCAGTGTTTTGCTGAGACAAACATGTAAATGTAATTTTATTGTTTTACAATTTTTAATTGCATACACAAGTGTTGGGGTTTCCATTGTGGTAGATAGAAACTATATATTGCCATTTTACACGATCATGCCAAATCTGTCATGACTTACATTGATCGATCTTTTTATACAAGCCCTCATATGCCAGCCTTTTTAAGAATGTTGTCGATTTGATCTGAAAAACCTTTAGCGGTCGTGCTCTTCTAATGTTGCCTTCCACGTTGGATCATACATCCCTTTTCCACTTTACTTTCATTCATCCACTCCATGAGAGCAAACCACTTTGAGAACAAAACATACCTTTTCTATTTTAGTCACCACGTCATTTTGTTAACCGGGATAAAAAAATACAAAGGTTAGTTCAACGATACGCGCTCCGAGCTCAAGTTGATCTTTTTGGCTTTTATTTCATTGAAAGAATAGTTTCATATTCTTACTTACCTTTATTTTTTTACGTTATTCAATTACTCTGTACTCAAATGGTACAGTCTGTTTATGTTCACGGCTCTTTTTATATTCAGAGTTGAACCTACAGTCACTGAACCTTTGAAAACCCTGGTTGAAATTTTATAATATATTTAGGTAGGTTAATGTATTGTCCTGTGTAGATTATTATTGCGTTACTTTGGGAAAGTAATTTAAAATGAAAACTAATGTATCGAAGAAAATCTAATTTGTATTTGGCACACGCACATATACAATGTACATAAATGTCCACAACGAAATTATTTAAAATAACTTTTTTCCGTGCTGCGCGCTTTGTTTACAAATATAGAATAATATATAAATAGAATATATAAAAATTGTATTCAAATAATGTTGTAATCATCGTCGCTACTACATTATCCAATGTATTCACAGTTTGTCGCTGTTTTCTAACGGCCACGGGAGCAATTGCTAATATTTGTTTGAAGGTCGGTCTTATTGCGGTAGGGAGTAACACATTTCCCTCTTGTGGATTTACTTTTATGACCGCAATTACGTGATCTCAGTAAAGTGTCTGTTTGCAGACTTCAGTGCAACATCCTAAGTTTTTTATCATTTTGAGCTTCATTACGTCATCCTGGATTTATCTTAAGATTGAGAAAAATAATTCCTTAGTTCAGTTCTGTAGGGAGACAATCCCAGGACTTCTTCAAATAGTACCCACTGCTGAACCGCTAGCTGCTGAAGCATAGTGACGAAGGCTTTACTCGATGCTTGTACGCGTTGCAGAGCCACCGGGACTGGGCTTGCGGCATGCACAGGCAGGACTGCTGTTCTTCGCCATGGTGATCTGCTTTGCCATGCGGGTCAACATGAGTTTAGCCATCGTCGCCATGACGTCACCCTTAGATGATAATGTTCGTTTTTATCCATTTTATACATATTTTTTTATTATATTCAATCGCAATTTAGGTCTATAACAACAATTTCCTTCGTTAAGCTCATGCTTCATGCTTACTGTTTTAGTATTGATACGCCATGGGATACGCCTGATATCGCATTCGGCTTTGAAGCCTGGCCATGCGGTCATGCCCTAGAGTGCCCATAAAACCTCACGTATTATATGACGTCAATCCAAGTGACGAGATAATGAGATCTCATTCGGAGATGCGGCGGGAGGCAAAATGAATTATTCAAAATATGCCAAGGACTTGATATATTGACAAATAAATACTTCTGTTATCGGATTGCAAAAGTGCTGTGTTTCGGCAACAAATATTAGTTCGTACATTGATTAAATGGGGAAGAGATGTCAAATGGGGTGGATTTCATAAGTAGCATCGAAGCAAAACTAAAAATTGTTACTCCCACCACATCAAGAATTTCAAGACGTTCTTTATCAATAGATTTTAGTCACTATTCTATTTATGTATAATGCATTGCTGTAATCGTTGGTGCTATTATATATTATTTTTTGTTGAACCTAATTAGAAAACAACTCATAATTCCTAGAAGAATAATTTTTCTTTATTGAATATTTCTTTATTTGAAAAATTGGTCAGGTTGTTTTACATAGTGCCTTCAGGCGTAAGTTCATGTATTTATTTTATTCTCCGTGCTCCACAGTCTTTCGATTGGTCAACAAAGATCCAGAGTGTGATCCTGTCGTCCTTCTTCTGGGGCTACATCGTGTTACAAATTCCCGGAGGGGAGATGGCGGCCAAATTTGGAGGGAAGATCCTCATCACCACTTGCATCGCTGTCAACTCTGCTGTCTCGTTGTTGATACCCATTGGATCATATGTCGTAAGTATACGAGTAGTATACTTAAATTAGATGCGTAAGTCTACACGAGAGAGAATTTTATTCAATAGGAATTGCGAAAACTAAAAATGTTTATTGTTTGTATTTTATAACATTGTTTTCCTCGTTGATTGCATTGAACCATATTCAAGATAAAGGATAAAAAGGGACTTGGTAAATGATTGTAAACCGTTTTATGATTTCATATAATTTTTATTTTATCCTTTATATTCGTATTCAAATTATAATGAAAGTGTGATTTCGAAAACTATCCCACGCGTCTGTTATATTACTACGAGCAAACACTTAAGAGTATTTAAATCTGTTATATAAGCTTAAGAACTGTTTGTTACTGGTTATTGTGTAATAAATATATAAGATGTTTGACTTCAGGGTGGTTGGCAACTGGTCTGTGCGTGTCGCGTTCTACAAGGCTTAACTCAAGGTTTTTTGTATCCTTCAATGCACAACCTGATTGGGCAGTGGGTGCCTCTTGAGGAAAAGAGCCGGCTCGGCACTCTGATATACGCGGGTAAGTTTTTAGTTGTATTACTCATCTTTATAAAAATTTTTGGCCGCTCTTTACGTTGCAACCTTTTCGTATCATGAACATTTTCATAATTCCAAGTAGGTATTATTAGACATTGATGACGCAATAAGGTAATAATTTTATGCAAAAAAGGACCTTATTGCGTTGCCCGATCCCTATTTTTAACACGATGACTGCGATCTCTCAAAATTGACCATATATACGTATGACTATTATGTAAAATAAAAAGCACATGGTTTCAATACAAGGTATTTCAACGCGAGTCTAGATTTTAGGAAGTGAAGTATTGTGAAATTCGCGCGCTGAAATTAATAACAGGCTGAGAAAATATGACACAGGTCCGATTTCGACAAGCACCCGATGGCGACTGACGGGGCAACGGTCGGCGCGGCGTGTCGTCACACCGCTGGGAAATTTGCAAATTTTGAGATAAATGTGAATTTAATAATTTATAGGGCTTTAGTTCGAAACCAAAATTTTGCAGGTTCTCTGTAGAGTACTTAAAGAGAAATATCTCCATATAAAAATTATTTACAAAGTTAGATATTCTATTCTTAAACAATTCGTTCTAGACTTTTATTTTTGCTTACTTTCAGGATTTTATATTATCAGATAAAGTACATCCTGTCGTGTAACGATTTAGCACATTTTTTAGACAATATCCTTAGGTTTATCGTATATTTTTTAGTAAGACCGCAATTTAATAGTAAATACCTAACCATTTGAATTAGGAAAACAGTTTCTCCCGCTCCTCCTCCTCCTTTAAATAGCCCTGCGCTAGGGAAACCCTATATCGCCATAGTGCCATGGACACACTCACATAGACAAATTGAAATTACACCCAAACTTATGAGAAAAATAAATAGGCCATAAAAAATCTTTCTCCCGGCCGGCCGAAAAAATCGATCACAGGATCTCTGCGTGACACTCCAGCATGGAGACCGTTTGGCCACGGAGACAGTTAAGATTACAATATTCATCTATAAGTTACTTGCAGCAAGAATGATCCATAGCCGTACGATCCATAGGCTGTTATAAATAATTAACAACTATTTTCTATTGTATTAAATTGTAATTATGTAGACAAGTTTAGATAGCTTAATTAACTAGGTAAACCTTCATCCAAAATGTTACAAAAGTTTTGAATATTTTGAAGAATCTGGTCATTCAAACCGCATCTGCACCTATATAACCGCTCACGCGGTACATGCAGCCGTAGACGCATACCACACCTAGAGGTGCCGGTGATGATTTTATACCGATTTATCGGATATCGAACTTACAACAGGTAAAAGAACTAATATTAATTGCTATTTCCGTAACTACTCTAGCAAGCCATAAAGTTTTTAATGCCTGGGTCTGTCATTTAAAAAAAATAAACAACTTCAAAAATACGCCACGACAATCGTGTGTGTTATTGTTTGGGCTGGTGATTTCGGTGTTTATTTATTGAAAACATACCGCAAGTAGCGTTTTTTAAGTTTACCCTGAATATAAATGTTTATAAACTATACTTTAAGGAGTGATTTCATGGTAAACTTTAGAACTATCTGGTTAAATATTATATCTTCGAATGAAGCGATTCACATAGTAGTGATCAAACTTCAGTTCAAGAAGTTCGTTTGATCATCTATAAATTAAACATTGCTAAGAGGAATATAAATAAACTAGCTATTCTTGACTATCGTCTTCATAAACGCTTCTATCATAAGACTCTGGTAGATATTAAATTTGCTATTTGCGAGGTTTAAAATTAGAGTGAAACAAAAATATTCTACTAAAGTTTATTATTATATAATACAGAACTACCTCATTATATTGCTTTTCAAATCTACGAGCATTTAGTGTTCAGAAATGTCTCGATTTCAAGTGTTATTCAAGTTTAAAATCTTTGCAATAAAGACTTTGATTAGTGATTTTATAAAACAATTGATCAGGTTGAACTTAGAAATAATTTCCATCCAGAGACGCATCGCAATCGCGGAACGCTCTGTGGCGGCATGTGTCCACTGCTGCATGTATCGCGTGAGCGGTTAGGGATGGCTTCCCAGCCCACGTCTAATTTCCCATTGATGGAACGGGGAAGGCGAAAACAAGTGGCAGCAATACTCCAGACACGACCGGACTTGTGCTTGGTACAGCTGAAGCAACTGTTCAGGTGTGAAGTAAGCCTTTTCTTGAAAAGCATGCCAAGCTTCCTGGCCGCATTTTTGGTCATAGATTCAATGTATCTGTCGAAGTTCAGATTGGACGACAGATACATTCCAAGTAGCTGGAGACAGTCGGCTATCTGTATGGCTATATCACGACAAGTCGGAATCAGGTGGTCAAGGGGACTCTATTCGTTTTGTAAAGAATAAACACGCCTGCGTTTTGGTAGCGTTAAATTTGACAAGATTGGCATCACCCCAATCGGATACTGCCTTAAGTGTCTGATTCAAACGATTTTCATAACAACAAAAATCGCTAAATCGTATTAAATATTTTGCCTCAAGCATGATGTTTTGTTGTTCTAGTTAAAAAAAAAATCAAAAATGTTTTTATTTAAAGAAACAATCGTTACAATTTTGTGGCTCGAGAATCTCTTTCAAGCAATAATTGTGCTATTTTTGTACTTGTGCTAGGGATTTCCGCTCTTCCTTCTTTTAAACAATATCTAAATTTAAGATTGAGTGATTAGAGTTTAAATAATAATATTTAATATTATAACATACAAATATATATAATAAACCTACACATATGTACACATACATAAATACACATACATACACATGTTTACGTACATATTTAGGGATTTTGTGTTATATTTTAGATGTAAATTATTCCAGCACTTCGAAAAGATATTCAGTATCCTCATAATCCAATGATCGTAACCACGTTGAGAGCGTAGATTTCAAGTCATACAAGTTCAATGGGTGTAGATTTAGTACTTTATTTATTATAATATAGAGATAACAGTATTGTCGGTTAAATTGTTTACTGGCAAAGGTGGTACATACAGTTTGATGCGGCAACACAAAGTTTTTTCTTCTGTTCCTCAAAAATTAGATAATGCTCACATTTTTATTTGTATATTACTATAAACTAATTAAGTTTTGGTAATATCGTAGTACATAAAACATTTCATAATAATAAATAGTCCGCTAAAGTGCTAATGGCACCATTATAGCTAATAGTGGAGCATGGGCGAGCAATAATTCAACGGTTAAGAAAAAATAACGATTTAGGGAGTCGCTCCACTTACCGACACAAAAAACTTTATATCGATATAACAAGAGCGAAAAACGACACTGTAGGATCCTAGGACGCTGTCCGATTATGTGCAGGCCTTAACGGCTTAACGGCCGCATTGACATCTGGACGGCCACGTCCTCAACGCCAAAATGGCCGCATCGACGCCCAAACGATCACATCGACATCAAAAGGGACGCGCCGACGTCACAACAGCCACGTCGACACCAAAATTGGTGCGTCTACGCCAAAACGACCGCGTCTATGCTACGTCGACGGCGAATCATAATCTGATCTGTGACAAACTGTGATAAGACATGACCGCCTCAAACCATTGTCAGCTTTTACTCTTCATTTTTTCCATGTTGTGACAAATTTATCACTAGAGCATTAAGTTGGACTCATAAAGCTGCAAACACAGCAAATAAAAAAGCCCCACTTTAAGATGAAAATAAGGTCATAACAAGCAAAATAATAATCGTGTTGTCTGTTTAAACGTTTTAAACGATTTGTTTCTCATGAATTTAATGCCTTTTGGTCGGGTTACTTGTCTTACATGGCACACGTAATTGGAATTATAATTTTATAATGTGCCATAGATTGATTGATTGATAAAAAAAAATTAAACTTTGCGTTAACGATAGCTATTTATCCAAAAAAAACTATACTTTATTTAGTTTACATATCGAAGAAATTCAAGGGTACGAACAAACTACGAACTTTTCTATTTTATATTGTAATTTGTATGACTAGTTTTGATAAGCATAAATATCTTGCAGGAGCGCAGTTTGGTACAGCTCTCCAGCTCATGGCATCTGGCTTCATAGCGGAGGCATGGGGCTGGTCAGGAATTTTCTATGTAGACGGGACATTAGGAGCCATATGGGTAGCGATCTACGTATTTATCGGATCTTCATCACCACAGAGCTCCACGATGATCAGTGAAAAAGAGAGGAATTACATCCATAGGTCGTTGGGACACGAGGGTGGACACAAAGTAAATAAAGATTTTTGTAATTAACATACTTAGCTGCCGTAACATCCCAGAACCTACTGCTGGAGTATGAGCTAAAAGTATAAATATAAAAATATAATAATAATATACTTACTATCAAGTTAATTTCATTTGAATTGATTGTATAAAACAATCAGTTTTAGACGACCTTGAATTTTAGATTTTGGACATTTTAGATAGCTTCTATGGTAAAACAGAATCTAAATACGTATTCCTTGATGATCTCTATCACAGCTTCTCTGACGAATTTGAAGTTGTGTATGCGTTAAATTGTATTTCTACAATTCTTGCCTCTTTTCACAGAAACTGTCAACCCCATGGAAGTCAATTGCGACGTCTATGCCCTTCATATGTCTGACCATCACGCACTGTGGTCAAAATTGGGGATTTTGGACACTCATGACTGAGATGCCTTCTTATTTCAACCAAGTTCTTGGCGTCGATATTAAATCCGTAAGTAATTCCTAAAAACTTATCTACAAAAAGATTCGTGGAATATAGAGATAATTTTAAAAGGTCATTGTTTTTAAATATACCTACAACCACTAGCTGAATTATGCTTGGATTTAATTCAAACTTTCGTAAACGTTCAGTACACTTTTCAGAACGGAATGATGTCGGCCCTTCCGTACATAGCCATGTACCTGTTGAGTTTCCCACTCGGTTATCTCGCTGATCTTTCCCTCAGGAAGAAATGGCTCAGTATCTCTGCCTCAAGGAAATTATCAAATTCTATTGGTAAGTAAAGTCACTGGAAGTTGGGAATAATAATGGGCCTTCTTATTATGTGACATGGAATGGAATTTAAATTCAAGTGTAAATGTGGTAATACCGTTGCTTACACCTGCGCTACGGACTCACATGTGGCACAGTCCTTCACCAATACATAAGTTCGTGTGGCAATACTTTTAGATCATAACTCGTCCACGGAGAACTAAAGTGTTTCTAATACTCTACTGAAAGCGTATGCACAGAGTCAGATATGTATTAACTGATAGATTACAAATGTGGACAAATACCTTGAACCCTAGTAATTTGGAACATTCCGTAACTTGGAAAAAATAACTCTTCTATACACAAATCGAACATTGATTAGGCATTTATGTAAACGAATTCGTCGTCATTTAGATAAGATGAGCTGATTTCCTTCTCATTTAAATATCGTAATACGATATAAGAAACCTTACAGGCTTCTACGGTCCAGCTGTGGCCTTGATAGGGCTATCGTACGCACCAGCAGGCAGTGTGTGGGTTGCCGTTATTTTATTGACTACAGTCGTTGGATTGAATGCCGGTCATTACACTGGATTTTTGGTAAGTCAAGTTATTCCTATTACCAAATTTCTATTTGTTTTCTATGGTATGCTTAGACAAGCACTACTGGCACATGTAAAGTAACATGTAAAGGCCGTGAGAGTTTCCATCTACTGGCCTTCATCTTTAATTAAAAAGTGGCACTCAGTGAGTTCAGTAGACTATGGGAAGACTGAGCTTGTATTATGCACAAATATTAATTTGTGTCGATTTACTTGCTAACATACCTTTTCATATTTAAAATGGTAAAATCCCGCCACAAGGCATATTGTTGGCTGCAGACCGTCATACTTTACTGATTTTTGTTCAGTTGGTGCACATAGATATGGCTCCGAACTTCGCCGGCACTTTGATGGGCATCACTAACTTCTTTGCGAACATCGTCTCAATCGTCGCTCCCCTTGCAGCTGGTGCTATTTTGCATGACGTGGTAATTGCTAAGAATAATTCATTATATTTGAAAAACCTCAAAGTTGAAGGTGTATTGAAAGTCAGTGGAGATGTTTTTCTCTGCAATTTGGCAACAAGATCTAATTCAATATCTAATATTATTACAATAACTTCATTTCTTTTTATAATGGTTACTTTTATAATCATACATTTAATTTAGCTTTAGATTCTATTTTTGTTTTATTATAAGTACTTCTTAAGTTTGAAGAGGCAATATTTCTCCATGGTTTACATACACGTTTTCGGGCACATGTTTTTATTTGGTCCACTTAAGTGACTCTTATAATCTGTCTTGCTTGCCCTTTCCTCCTTTCTTTGTTTCTTCAATAGGGACAATATAGCACTGTGTTTCTGTGACCTAGACCGATGCAACCCAGTGGCGTCATGTGTTCTATGTATCGTCAGCAATATACATCGCCGCAAACACGCTGTTCATCGTGTTTGGAACCTGCGAGCTGCAGAAATGGAACGACGTCTCTGGACAGAAAGATACTTCAGGTACATTTCTTTAATAATTTGAGGTTAGTCACGGGCTTGGAGTTTTGGTGTTGCTTGTCCGCAGTGCTAAACTAATAAAGGAGTTATCAGCCAATCCCAAAATTTTATACAAACGTGTTCAAAAGCTGAAATAATCACACACGACAAAAAGTACCGTAAAATTATCATTTTCCATAATAAATCCGTGTATATACACTTATTTATTCTCTTTACTTATGAATTGGCCGTTTAAAGTGAACAGGTCGATCTAGGCTAGACCAAGCCTAAACTTATTTATTAGACTAATTATAATCTCCACCTGTAATCTAATGTAATGTTACGTTACTGACGGACTCGATTGACGAATATTTCAAATTGCTTAACAGTGATGGTTTTGTTGTATGATCTATAGGTAATATTGTTGGTAGAAAAAAAAAACATTTCAAGTAATAAGAAAACATCATAGTGTTGCATGTATGTATGTCCTTCGAAATAACGTTTTTTTTTTTGCAATTAAGACTAATTTTTTGTACCTGGTAGTGCATTACTGAATCAAACGAGGTTCTTAATTTATTGAATAATGTTATGAACTAAATACTTTATGAGTGAATGAATGAAATGTTCTTTATTTCACATTAAATGATCTATGACTACACAATACAGTAAAGTAACACACCTAAAACTGTTTGATTTTAAATACAAAACCACCATGAGACTCAGTTACAGTAACTAAAATAACGGATAACTCACATGTTTCGAACCAATTCGTGGCCCTTAATCATGAGATTCCGTGGCGGTGACTCGAACCTAGGACCACGATTCGTTCGAAACATGTCGAGCAAAAATTCGATTAAATACTTGAGTTATCCGTTATTTCAGTTAATATAAAATTGTTTGTTGTGAAATTTGTCAAAAGTCAAAAATCTTAACAGTTCTTGTCTTTGATTATCAATTGAAACATCATATCTATATAAATGTGAATATTTGGTCTCACCAATCTTTTATTTATATGCTTTCAATCCACGACTGTAATTTTTTCTTAAATTCAACTTAACGTTCACCTACCAAACCAACGATAAGCATTTAAAAATACTATTTATTTTTATTGAATTGATATTCAATTCTTTTTTGTGAAATTACTCCACTAGTTTGTTATAATTATTAATACAAAGATCAAAGACTCAGAAAAAACAAAAGACGTCGGTTCGAATCCGACCGGATCGAAGGAATTTTTTCTGAGTGTTTTTTCTGAGTGTTCGATCTTTGTATTAATAATTATAACAAACTAGTGGAGTAATTTCACAAAAAATAATTGAATATCAATTCAATAAAAATTTAATTAATAGAGTGAATAGCGACATCTCTCGCCAGGACTGGTAGCTGTAAAGGTACTAACTGGGTGATAAATCTGTCATAGATTTCTCATAGATGGCGCTACGACTAAAAAGTCGTTGAAAGACCAAGTACAAAGACACGACGCAAGCACATAGAAAAATTCGTGAGGTCCGTTGGTTCGTTCCGTGACTTAGTTGGTATAGCGTCTGGCACGGTATGCAAGAAGACGTCAGTTCGAATTCGACCGGATCGAAGGAATTTTTTCTGAGTGTTCGATCTTTGTATTAATAATTATAACAATAATATTTATGTTTAACATACATCTTTCTTGGCCGACCTTCCATATATCGTTTATTTGGAAACACCTTAATATGGTCCATATTATTTCGCGTATATAACAAAATACTCATTTTATTACAGATGAAGAAGCTTCGAGGAAACACGTGACGGTACTCGGAGAAAGTGAAGTAGTACTGTAAATTTAGTTAGCGGTGATCAATCATTGTATTATATTCATTTGTTTTTCACGTGCGAATATTACTAGATAAAAATGAATGGAAATTGCCTATCAAATGCATACATATACCTACAGTATTTTGATATTGAAACTTTCATATGAATATGATTTTGCATACAAAATTTGTATGTGCTATTGTATTAATTATATTCGGTTAAGAATCGATTTAGGTAAAAGGCGACAAATACATTTTTTACTATTAACTAGTAATGTTTGTGGAATTTTTATTCATAGCGCTAATGTTGATCTCTAAAATCAATATTAGTTCCACCACTTGTAGCCTTTGCCTTAAAACAAATATAAAGTGATGATGTACATTTTTAAATACACATAAGAATAGTTGTTTTATTAAAAAAATAATATCGTTATTTATTATGGTTAACTTTGTTGTTTTCATATTTTTTATTATATTCTCTGTTCCAAAATTAATCTATTAAATAACTGTAGGCTACAAAAGAAAAATACTTTACATACCATTACTCTAGTCTCTCACTAGGGCAGGCTTCCACTCTCTATGTTACTGAAAACTTTCTTTCACATCTTCCAATCGCATCAGTCTCCTAGTAATATGAATGATATATTGTACATTCGCTCTATAAAGTTGTGCCCTCAGTTTAACAATAATCTTTCTACATAATATGACCTAATTGTCAAACAAATAATTTACAATACATCATATCGTTTTTTATAAAAATATTAGTGATGTCGACGTTGGCGCATGCACACGTAAATAAAGTGTATCCAGTCATCATGTCGTATCCACTCAACAACACGTCTATGTTGTGTTTACAACGTAAACTAGGTCTCACCGATTGCTTGGCATCATCCACCTCAGTGATAGGTAAGTAAATCTATAATGTGGTACTCCAGACCGGTTTCAGCAGAATAAAGACCCTTTTAGCTGTCTGGGTTCTCAAATCGATGTTATGGTCCGAGTCACCTTGCTTGGTTATTGAACTGCCTGAAGGATTCTAAATGTATGTAACATTTAAAATCTTCTCTATATTGTGAAGTAGCATGAAGAGCAGTAACAGAAGTCAAGTGAAACATGTGTTATGCTGCCTGGTAGAAAAGATATTCTTAGTGTAAATTCGCAAACTTAAATTCTGTGTTGATTCTATCTAAGATCAGAGATTTTTATGCTTGGCTTGCACTGGCTTGACATTAGTGGAATTTGCGCTGTATTACGGTCTAGTCGCGATCCACCTATGTATATGTCCTACTGTAAACTGAAAATGAAGTTTTATTGACAACAACTGTTAAGTACCCTGTTAAGAAATAACGATTTAGATTTTTCACTGACTGATCACCCTTGCCAATGTGTGGACTATATTACTCTTGTTAGGAAGCTAGTATATTACGGAGTAAATGGCAAGGCGTTGGAACTTGTCTCGTCATATCTTAACGGTAGAATTCAGAAAGTAGACATAAATGGGGTGACTTCCTCGGGTTCCCGGTAAAAATGGGTGTTCCGCAGGGCTCAATAATTGGACTGTTCTTATTTCTCATTTATATTAATGATCTACCATTCTTTGTTAAGGACCTGATGCCGACGATGCTTTTACGTTGCGGCTATCACAAATTAACTTATTTCTCGTAAAACAAAACTCCACTTTTCACTTGACATGTATATATATATATATATATATATAGAACGATCAACATGACAACCAAACAAAGAAACAAAAATAATAAACGAAGGAGGCCGTAACATATCTCCCAAGCAATGCGCGGCTATTCACATTCAGGATCAGTCGGGAGATGGACGATTTATATAGCTGGCCGCCGTAAGACGCCACCAGCAGTGCACACGTCAGCAACCCGTACTCGCCCATCTGCACCTGGGAACACTTTTATTACTATGCCCTTTGGTCAGATGTTGCGGGGTAATCCGGGGTCGACGATGATGACCACGTCGCCGTCTTTCAAATCCGGTTTTTCGAGGACATGTTCTCTGGGCAGTTTTTAAGTTTACCCTGAATATAAATGTTTATATAAACTATACTTTAAGGAGTAATTTCATGGTAAACGTTAGAACCACTCAAAAGGAATATTATCATATTTATCCAAGTACACCAAAAATTTCATTATATAGTTTATAAACATTTATATTCAGGGTAAACTTAAAAAAACGCTACTTACGGTATGTTTTCAATAAATAAACACCGAAATCACCAGCCCAAACAATAACACACACGATTGTCGTGACGTATTTTTGAAGTTGTTTATTTTTTTTAAATGACAGCATGCATTAAAAACCCAGGCATTAAAAACTTTATGGTTTGCTAGAGTAGTTACCGAAATAGCAATTAATATTAGTTCTTTTACCTGTTATAACTTCGATATCCGATAAATCGGTATATAATCATCACCGGCACCTCTAGGTGTGGTATGCGTTAAGTGCAGGATTTACAAGAGTTATACACCATAACTGCATTTTATTTGAGATGTTTTTATTGGTAGTACGGAGAGTATTTATTTAGCAATGCAGAATAATAATTTTTATTTATAAAAACTTGTATTTAAACTGAATGCTTTTCTAATTCGCGAAACCAAATAGCCGCCATTTTGCGGTAAGAGGAGCGTATCCGACTGAACGAATCCGAATGAACCAATTTTGAAAACATTTATGCCACTTCTCCGTGATTTTCTCCAAAACATATTTTTCATACTCTTCGACAGCCTTTTCACGTGATGAAAATCGTTGACCGCGTAACTGGTTCTTCATTTTTGGAAATAAATAAAAGTCACATGGCGCCAGGTCGGGACTGTAAGGGGGATGGCTCATAAGGTCAACGTTGTTCATCTTCAAAAATTCATTTGTCTGTGTGGCCGTGTGAGAACTGGCATTATCGTGGTGCAAGATGATATGGCGTTTACAGTTATTTTTACGGAGTTTGTCAATAGTTTCCGGCAAACAAACGGTAGTGTTCCAATCACTATTCACGGTACAACGATTCTCCAAAGCAACAGTAGCCACATGTCCAGTTTTATAATACCTCAAGAAAACACTTAATAAAATCCATACAGATAAATCAAAATACTACCTTACCAAGGATTTATACAAAATATCCGCGGCGCCACATATTGGCTCCGACAAAACAGATTGAACCACCCACGATTAAATGTACGGAAACCGGCCTGCGCAAATAACCGCGCCCTGATAGACTCCACCTGAACACACTCCATGAGCAAATGATGTACATCCTCAGGAATCCCACATACTTCGCAATTCGGTGAGTTCACGCTCCGCATCAAATACAAAAATTTGTTTGATGGAACGTGTCCGGATCGAAGCCTATGCGCGCTGACAATTTGACCCCTGCTTAACTTAACATGGCCAAACCACGGGACACGAGGAGGCTCACTCTGTATGGTTTTGTACCAGATTTCTTTTTCCTGGGACCTCACGTCGAAATATTCCTTCCAACGGGAATGGAACTTGCTTTTATAGTTTGCAACCACTTCAGAGAAGTCAGGCACAATGTCAACCTCAGGTCCCTCTGAAGCAGCCGCAAAGGCTAACCGGTCCGCTTCCCTAACAAGTCAATATGTGACGGCACCCATTGTAACTTCAGGCATCTCCCACTAGTCACAACATTATTTATTTGTTGTAAAATTGTATAAGCTAAGGAAACACACCGTTTGCCATAAGTACAGCGAACTATAATGTTGAATGGCACATTTACTGTCGATCAAGATTACCACATTTTGACAAATTAACGTCTCCATATACGACAACGCCTCAGATATTGCATATAACTCTGCCGACATTATTGTTACTCTAGAAATAATTTTAAAACCTGCCCTCTTGTTATTGAGTGGGTCAAAAAAAGCTGCCCCGTTTTTTATCACCGCACTTAGAGCCATCAGTAAATATTTTAAACCAAACCGAATACTTTTCTTGTAATTCTAAAATTACATCCATACGAAGAAAATCACTATTATACGTACGTTTAACATGAGATATACATTCCTACGTGTAGGATAGTATGTTATCTATATATCTATCTAGGGTTCCATGTGGCGGCATTTAACAGACTTAAAATTGCGTCACGAGGCATCTTTGTTTGCGAATCGTCGTACTTCATTTTCAGATGTATTAGATGTGTTATTACATTCATTTCTAAACAGTTGGTGCACATAGAAATGGCTTCGAACATCGCCGGCACCTTGACGAGCGTCACTAACTTCTTCGTGAACATCGCCTCGTTGGTCGCTCCCCTTGCAGCTGGTGCTATTTTGCACAACGTGGTAATTGTTACGGATACTTCTATTTATATTTGAAAAATCTAAATAAACCTGTTGAAGTGAATGTCAGTAATGATAATTTTTATTTACGTTGGCAGCAATGACCTAATTGAATGTCTAGTATTGTTACAACCAGTAGTTTTCTTAGCTTTAATACCTACTTTAATTTTAAGGTATGTGGTTATTAGAGATAATATTTTTCCATTGCTGACGTACATATATATATTTTTATCTATGGTCCACTTAAGTAACGATTATGATTTGTTTTTTTGCTCCTTCCCTGTTTTTTCTTCGTTTCTTTTTTAGGGACAATATGACAATGTATTTTTGTGACCTAGATCGATGCGATGCAGAGGCGTCAGGTGTTCTACGTGTCGCCAGCGATATACATCATCACAAACACGCTGTTTCTCATGTTTGGAACTTACGAGCTGCAAAAATGGGACTGTCAGAAAAACACTTCAGGTACATTTCTTGTTAATTTGAGGTCACTCACGGTCTAGTAGTTTTGTTTGTATTATAGTGTCGCATGTCCACATTGCTATCCAGTGAAAGATACATATATCAGTCAATCCTAAAATTTTATACAAACATTTTTAATCGCCTGTCACATTATTATTATGAATTCCTATCGTTAATTTTCGTAATTATGTCTTAAATTATATATAATGTTGCGCGTCGTATTCATTCTAACCATTTACAATCTTAGATATTTATTTTATTGTTGTAATGCAAACGAACAGACGAGCCATTTGATGGGAGATGGTTATCATCGCCCATAGGCTTCTGCAACGTCAGGAGAGCTGCCTATGCGTTGCCAGCCATTAAAAGCCCTGTTGACATATTTTTTGAAGAACCTATTATGTTGTCGTTTGCTATTTGCGTTGTACTTACAGTTTTTTG